GTCCTATTCTCTACAGCATTCTCCTGTGAGCCCAGGCTGGCTCAATGATGTAGCCTAAGGGGGCGGTTCCTTGACACCCAGGGCTCAGAGGAAATAGGTTGACTGATGCTCAGAAGAGGACTGATTCTGGTCTACAAAAACTACAAAACTGATTTTTATTTTTTATTTTTTTTATTTTTTTTTTAGTCTGGAAATATATTAAATAGCTAATGTGAACGTTTAATACTTTATATTATCACCTTTCTACATATTTATATATTGTTAATGGAGTCACTTATTTCTTCTGTTTTCTCCTATATTGCTGTGGCGTTGAATTTCCATGGACCTCCCAGGAGCCAGCCAAAAGTAAGTGGACCTGTCATTATGTACAGCATGTAGCAGGTACAGGTTTTTCAGGCACAAGACAGTGATAACTTCAATGGACTTCTGTCATCTTTGCAACAAATTTAAAGGTGATGTGCACCACCTTTTGGGCCATGTTTCATGTTGTGCATTGAAACATGGTCACATTCCCCAGCTCCCCACCCTAAAAACACCCCATGCATTGCAGGATGCTTCTCCCTGTTTTAATTTGCATGACTGTGCTTTGCTCAGCCTACACAGCCCTGTCCATCTATTCACAGGTCCATTCACAGGGAATGCAGCTATAGACTTAGAGATTGTGCTGATGCAAGTCTGTCCACTGGTTCACAGTTCATACCAGTGTCCAGGGGGTGATAACTTAGAAACTAGTGTACAGACACGTAGGGGTTTTCTGGGGTGTGTGTGTATGGGGGGGGGGGGGGGGGTGTATGGGTCATAACTGGTTTAGCATTACATAGGGATTCTACAAGGGGTGATAACTTGGAGCCTGGTGTAGGGTTACATAGGGGTTCTCCAGGAGGGCGGTAACTGAGAGACCGGTTTGGCATTATATAGGTATTCTCCAGGGAGGATCTATAAATGAGAAGGCTACCACTATGGCAGATAAACTCAAACATCCTGCCAAAGCAAGAGTCTCCACTGGTGCAAAGTTCATACCAGTGTCCAAGAGGTGATAACGTAGATACGTAGACTCACTTAGAGGTTCTCCAGGGGGGCGGTAACTCAGAGACTGGTTTAGCATTACATAGGGATGATCTGTGAATGGAAAGACAAGCACTGTGGCAAATAGGCTCAAAGGTCATGCCGGCGCAAGTATGTCCACTTGTTCACAGTTCATACCATGTCCAAGGGCTGATAACTTGGTGAAACTGGTGTGGAGTCACTTAAGGGTTCTCCGAGGGAGGCGGTGGTCATAACACAGAGACTGGTTTAACATTACATACAGATTCTCCAGTAGGTGATAACTTAGAAACCAGTGTAGAGTTACTTAGGGGTTCTCCAAGGGATGCAGGGGTCATAACTCAGAGACTGGTTTAGTATTACTTAGAGACTAGTGTAGAGTTACATAGGGGTTCTCCCTTGGGTGACAACTTAGATTCTGGTGTAGAGTTACATAGGGGTTCTCCAGGAGAGTGTGGTTTAGCATTACATAGGGTTTCTCCAGGAGGTGATAACTTAGAAAACGGTGTAGAGTCACTTAGGGGTTCTCCAAGGGAGATGGGGGTCATAACTCAGAGACTGGTTTAGTAATACTTAGACACTAGTGTAGGGTTACATAGAGTCTTTCCAATGGGTGATAACTTAGAATATGGTGTAGAGTTACATAGGGATTCTCCAGGGGAGTGTGGCTTAGCATTACATAGGGATTCTCCAGGGGGATCTGTGAATGAGAAGACTACCACTGTGGCAGATAACCTCAAAGAACGTGCCAATGCAAGTATGTCCGCTGGTTCACAGTTCGTACCAGTGTCCAGGGGGGATTGATTAGTTAGTTACCACCACCCTGGAGAACCCCTATGTAACTCTACACCAGATTATAAGAGACTGGTTTAGCATCACTTAGGGATTCCCCAGGGTGGATCTGTGAATGAGAGGATTACCACCGTGGCAGATAGAGCCAAAGATCATGCCGATCCAAGTATGTCACTGCACTTTTAGTTCTTTGTTTACTTCCACATGCCCCATAATTGAAGGTTCACACTTAGGTTGGGGCATAAACAACGTAGGAGTGTTGTATTGCACCTGCCACTTGCAATACTGTGCCAGCTTTAATACAAAAAAAATATTTGTATTATTTATGTTAGTAATGTGAATTTATTTATTAGGTGGACTATAGTTTTAATCATTACATTTCTAACTGAACACACTTAGTGAGGGTCTGTTTTGAAGGGCTCCCAAGGCAGGTGTCAGAGTGATGGGTTCATTAAAAGTAACAATAAAGAGCCACACATATGTAGTGCAGTGGCTTCTGGGATAGGAGAGCAGCTCCTGTCTGAAAGGATAGTACCTTCAATAGAAGAGATATTATACTCACCGGCAGCCCATGTCTCTGCCTCTTCCCTGTTCAACAATCCAGCCTCTGTCAGGGTCTCCAGCATTTGACACTTCTGGGAATGTTGGATGCCCGCATCCTCCACTGCCTGTCTTCTGCCCTCTCCATCACTATGGCACACCACAGGGACATAAGAGTAAGAGGATGGAGCCAAAGACATGGCTAACCAAAAAAGACTGGAAGAAGCTACACTAGAGGGGAGGTAGAAGACGATAATTGCTGGAGTGGTGAGTAAAGGAGCTCTTCTACTGCAGGGATCTTCCTTTTGAATTGCTTTTATTTTGCTGTATTTTCTTTAACAATCAATACTGGTTAACCGTACCTCTTAAACCCTTAATGTTACCCTTATTTCAATCACCATCACTAGATTAACCCATATAAGTGCAGCTCATCGACACAGTGTTGGGATGAGCGCTCTATAGGATGAGCTGTTTTGATATGAGGGTGGAGCAGGGTGTTGTGTTTTCTGTAGTAAATATCACAGCTGTACTGAGAAGCCTAAAAAATGTTAGCAGCGACTCACATTCTTCAGTTGGATTGGCTAGCCTGTTTATATATATATTTTTTTTTTCATTTGCTCATGTATATATTATGGTCACAAGAACATCATAATCTGCTTTGGAACAGTGTTTCTTTTGGCTTGCTACAGCATCCAGGGACAGAGCTATGAGCTAGTTACAGGCTCACACTTCTGACTCTATTATTTGTATGGCTGTTGTTGGAACTGGTGGGCCTGGAGCAAACATTTGTTTTGCTCCTTTATTAAAATGGTACTGACAGCTTAGGGTATTAATAGTTTTCAGGACATTTCCAAGCCCTCCGAGCTGTACAGACCCTGAAAGGATGTCCGAGTGCTTGCCAGCTTTTTGCCGAGCCTTCCAGGCTTTGTACAGAACAGTCCCTTGTCGGCTTTTTATACGTAGGCTGAAAACACTTCCTGCCTCATGTAATATCCCAGCTGTGCAACAACTGCTGAATACTAAGAGGAAAGTCATGTCAGATATGTTAAAGAGCCAGCAAACCTATTACAGAGAAATAATGTATCGGAGACTTGTGTAGAGACATGGAGGGGTTCTTCAGGGGAGTGATAATTCAGAGACTCGTGTAGAGTCACATAGATGTTCTTCAGGGTTGGGGTGATAAGTCAGAGAGTGGTGTAGAGTCATGTAGGGGTTCTCTAGTGGGTCATAACTTAGAAACTGGTGTAGAGTAAGGGATCCCCAGGGGGTGATAGCTTAGATACTGATATAGAGCCATTTAGGGGTTCTCCAGGGGGTGACAACCCAGAGATTGGTGTAGAGTGATATAGGGGTTCTCCAGAGGGGCAATAATTCAGAGACTGGTGCAGAGTTACAGTACATAAGGATTCACCAGGGGGGTTATAACTTATTGTTGTAGCGTTACATAGGGTTTCTCCTAGGGGTGATAACCCAGAGACTGATGTTAGGGGTTCTCCAGGAGTTAATAGCACAGAGATTAGTGTAGCGTTAAATAGGGGTCCAGGGGGGGTAATAATAAGCTAGAGACTGGTGTAGAGTTAAATAGGAGTTCTCCAGGGGGGTAAGAACTCGAATACTAGTGTAGTGTCCGGATTCTCCGGAGGGAAGGGTATTAACCCAGAGACTGGTTTTAGAGGTTCTCCAGGTGGTGATAACCCAGAGACTGCTGTAGAGTTACAATGGTGTTCTCCAGGGGGTAATAACAAAGGGGTGATAACTCAGGTTCTGGTTTATACTCACTTAGGGGGTCTCTCCAAGGGTCATATACTCAAAGCCTGGTGTAGTCGTCAAGGAGTTCTCCTGGGGATGATAAAACAGAGACTGGTGTTGAGTCATCTAGGGGTTCTTCAGGGGAGTAATAAGTCAGAGACTGGTGCAGAATCACATAGGAGTTCTTCAGAAGGGTGATAACTCAGACTGATGTTGAATCTATAGGGGTTCTTCAGAGGGGTGATGACTCAGAGCCTGGTTTAGACTCACTTATGGTTTTCTAGAGGGTGTATACTCAGACTGGTGTAATCTCCAAGAGGTTCTCCTAAGGGTGATAAAACAGAGATTATATTTGAGTCATGTAGGGGTTCTTCAGGGGAGTGATAAGTCAAAGACTGTTGTAGATTAACATAGGGGTTCTTAAGATGGGTGATAATTCAGACTGGTGTAGAGTCTTTAATGGTTCTTCAGGGGGGTGATAACTCAAATACTTGTGTAGAGTCACTTAGAAGTTCTTCTGGGGATATCTTAGAGACTAGTGTAGAGTCATGTACAATAAGGGTTCTCCAAGAGTTGATAATAGGCACTTCCATGTTAAGAGCTCATCTCACACACACAAACCACTATTATTCCCTTTCCTATGGAGAAAAGGATAAAAAATGTACCACCACTAGTGTTGGGTCTCACATTTTGTCCAAACTGGGACGATGACCACAACAGGTAGGTCCCAAGGGTGTTGGAAAGGATGAAGAGTAGACCTCTCACCAACCTTTGCTGTCTGTACGACATCTATTTCTTTTTGGCCTGGTTGTATATGCTGTTATAATGCTGTCTTTTTTGAGCTTTACTTGCCACTAATACCTCTCTTTTTCTGTAGGTATTCGCATACGATCATTGCTTCTGGTCAATGGATGAATCTGTAAAAGAGAAATTTGCAGGTAAAGTCATGCATCTTTGCTGCTAAGTCCATATTCAGTTATTTATTTTTTTAAGTTTGTGAAAAAAAAAAAACAATTGAGTACTGTCCAAGATATGTTTTTTATTTGCACTAACATACACTTTTGAGGACAAGCTTTGGGGGTATCTACAAATATATGTTGTGCTCCTAAATACTTCTCAATAAATACTAATTAAATTATTACCATTAAATTAATTCAAATTATGATACAAATAACGAATATAAAAGTGTATAAATACCAAAAAAATATTTAAATAGATAGTTTCAACTAATCAATCTCCTCCAAATAAATATCAAAATAATTCCACATGAAATACTCCTCTAAAAAAATTTTTTTTCAAGTGCTCATAAATCATCTATTAGTGACATGATATACTTACTAATACCCTCAATTTCATTTAAATTCATAATACCCTCATTTAATATAATAAAAATAGTAAACCAACTAATAACCCTCAACTAAAACGCATTTAGATGATCCCCCATAAATAAAAATAACTTCAAATAGTGAAGATGTGCGCTCATCTTCACTATTTGAAGGATTCACAAAAGTCACAAATTGAAGAACAACAAGCACCAAGTCACTATATATAAACAATTGTTTATTCAATGGGACTATTATTTTGATGATATTTGGATTTATACTAATCACTATTAATTATTTATGAGCATTTGGTTATTTTTATTTATGGGGGATCATCTAAATGCGTTTTAGTTGAGGGTTATTAGTTGGTTTACTCTTTTTATTATATTAAATGAGGGTATTATGAATTTAAATGAAATTGAGGGTATTAGTAAGTATATCATGTCACTAATAGATGATTTATGAGCAATTGAAAAAAAGTTTTTAGAGGAGTATTTCATGTGGAATTATTTTGATATTTATTTGGAGGAGATTGATTAGTTGAAACTATCTATTTAAATATTTTTTGGTATTTATACACTTTTATTAGTTGTTTGTATCATAATTTGAATTAATTTAATGGTAATAATTTAATTATTTATTGAGAAGTATTTAGGAGCGCAACATATATTTGTAGATATTTCCAACACAGTTGTAGTTATGTGTTTCATGTTTGCGATCCTCTAGTAATTATCACACCTGTGGCTCGCGAGTTACTCTGATTAATCTAAGCTTTGGGGGTATGTCCCCTTCTTCAAGGTCCAGGCAGTACTACTTTCTATTTGATCCAAGAGATAAAGGCCTTAATTTGGACATGGGATTCCTCACTCATTCTCCAACAGTTTTACGACCCCTTCCGTGAGTGTTGTCTCCCCCCCTCCAGTCTTTGATTTTGCTCTGTCTTATCTCTAGTCTAATCCTAGTTTTTATAAACATTGCTGTGTACATTTGTTTGTGTGTGTGTGTGTGTTTTTTTTTTTTTCTCCCCCTTTTAACATTTCTTTTAACATTCTGCTAAAACTTTGTGAAGTAATACTGGCTGGAACTTGAAGAAGGGGACATACCCTGAAAGCTTGTCCTCAAAATTGTATGTTAGTGCAAATAAAATAAAGTATCACGGACAGTACTCAATTGTTTCTATCGCAAGTGCACTAATACGGCTACAATGACCTCATGAAAAAACCCAGAAATGATTGCCATGTTCTTGCGAGACCGTCATTTGTAGTGGCATAAAACCACTGGACAAGAAGAAGAGTTTAATAGCGGATAATTTCTTTTTTTGTCATTCCAGTGCCTTCAGTGGTCTTAAGTTTGCAAGTGGTTTAACCCTTTTGCTGCCAGAGCCATTTTTTGCGCATGTTTAAAAAATCACTTTAGGCCTGAAGATTACATAAACCCCCAAAACATTGTATATTTTCTGAAAGCAGACACCCTAGAGCAGGGGTCTCCAAACTTTCTAAAAAAAATGGCCTGTTTGCTGTCCTTCAGACTTTAGGGGGGCCAGACTGTGGCCATTGGGAGTAGAAAAGGTCCTGACGTCAGTGGGAATAAACCATGCCCCTTCTTTGGTTTTAGTGGTAGCAATGGCACCCCATCGTTGGTGTTATTGGGAGGAATTGTACTCCATCATTGGTGTCATTGGGCCTGATTGTTGGTGTCATTGTGAGGAATTGTGCCCCATAATTGATGTCATTGGGAGGATTTGTGCTCCTCCATTGTTGTCAGTGGAGGGAATTATGCCCCTTTGGTGGTATCCGTGGATACAACAGTGCCCCAAAGGCTGGATAAAAGCAAGCAAGGGGCCGCATCCACCCCTCAAGCCACAGTTTGGAGACCACTGCCCTAGAGAATTAAATAATGGTAGTTCCAATTTTTTATATTATTCTTATTATAATACAAGGTTTATATAGTTTTATATATATATTTTAGATTTATATAGCGCAGTTTACACAGCACTTTACAACATAACGGCAGACAGTACAATTACAATACAATTTAATACAGTAAGAATCTGAGTGCCATCACACAATATTACTACAAAGGTCTAGGAAATGCAAAATTTCAGTAAAAAATACACTAAAGTTAATTTTAGGGCAGACAAACTCAATAAATTACCCAATTTTTCTTTTTTTGTAAAATGAGTTTTCACCGAGTAAATAGATACCCAACATGTCAAACCTTGGCATTACAGAGGAATTCTGGTGTAAGAATTATTGCTCTCAATACAGTGTGCATAGTGATATGTAATGTGTATCGCAATCAATGGTTTCATGTGTAGGCACCCCTGTTGCGTACATTTACGTTTGTATGTGCTTAAATGCTTGTGTGTAACAAATTTTTTTACTATTAAAAAATATATTTTTGTTTCCTTGGTGGCAGGTTCTCTTTACTGAGTCTAAAAGATCCTGTGCTTCATTGAATGAATGTAATGCAATGCAGAGTGCTCTGCATTACATTCTTTCCTGGCCATACTGTCCAGGGTGACTGACAGGGGTACCCAGAAGTGATGCTTTACACGTCTCTTCTGGGTCAGCAACAAGAAGGGAAGGAGAGCAGAAGTGTGTCTGCTCTGCTCCCTCCTCTCTATCTGGTGACACCCAGTACGCCAGTCCCAGGCTCGCTGATGGGCAAACGGAGCTGAAGATACATGGCAGGGGTTACTGGGAGGATATGAAAGCAATCCGGAGGCGCCAGACTGCTTTCATCTGACAGCCAGAAGTTGGTTTGTCATATTTACACACAACAGGACTGCAGCCACAGGGAGTGTGTAAAACCCCCGCTGTCAGATTTGTATGATGTGCAGACCTGGCAACAAAAGGGCTGAAAGAGAATGTATGTTGGTTTTGTATCTCTTTCAGTTATCATGATCAAACATTTAATTGTTTTCCTGTATCTCCTTGCATCCTTTGTTTTTAAAAGCTTAGCCGGCCATGCTAACATTTACACAGTATGTGAAAAGTCAACCAGAGCGAGCCTGAAGGCAGGCAACTACTGCACTGCTCTCCTCTTAGATAAACCCATAGGCCTCTGGGATTCATTTGTCACCTATTAAACTTTTATTTGCAAAGCAGTAATTGTATCTATTGTTAAAAAAAGTGAGTATAAAGCATTGGTTTAAAAATCTACAAAGTTTAACTAAAGTTGACCCAAAACCATTATAGTTTTCCCTTTAAAGCGACGCCGTCATTTAATAAAAATGTTGCAAATGTTGCCAAGTTCATGTACCTGAAGAGCACAACAGGATTCAATGGAAATCCTCCTGTGAAGTGCACAGGGAAATCAACACCTTGGGAATAGCATTCTCCTGTCTTTCCTGGAGTTCTCACTGGTTCCTCCCTTGGACCTCCATGTTACGGCAGAGGAACCAGTGAGAGCTCCAGGGGTCCCAGGAGATCGACACTCCTGAAAAGTTTGATTTACTTGTGCATTTCAGAGGAAAAGGTAAGTATTCCCTTTCTTATTTTGCAGGTACGTTTATTGGGAAACTGTTTATTTTATGACGGTTACGTTAAAGGGAAACTATAATGGTTTTGGGGTGCTTCTTAGTTAAAACATTTTAAGTTTGTAAATTTTAAAACCAAACTTTGTTCTTTTTTTCTTTACTATACATGCAATCATTGGTTTGCAAAAAATGTAATAAATGACAAAAGATTCCCAGAGTTGAATGGGTTATTTAATAAGAGATCAGTGCAGTATTTGCCTTCTTTTAAGCTTGCTCTGTCCGATTGAAACCTCAAATGATAGTGGGCAAATCTCATCCCCACTCTCTAATCCAATTTAGTCCAAACATCATATATTTTTTTTTTCTGTCATGGTCTTGCCAATCATGTAACTCCTACGGCAAGGATTGGGGGCCTTATTGCCCACATGCCTCACCTAGGCGTCCATGGCAGCTGAGGTTTTTGTGCTGAGCGCATGTTCACTGTGTCACCAACAGCTGCTGATCTCTAGTTATGACCAAGAGGCAATGGAACAAGCTCGCTATCATGTGACCACTACAACAGCCAATTGAACTGGTCATGTGATTGGACTATCTGGGTGGGAGGGAAAAGGTTAATCTATTATTGCGTGTGGAATTTTTGGATGTATTAATACAAGTATGATCTTTTTTTTTTTTTTTGTCTCTCTCAGGACAAGATGTTGTTTTTCAGTGCCTTGGTGAGAACATTCTCCAGAATGCCTTTGAGGGATACAATGCTTGTATCTTTGCCTATGGACAGACTGGTAAGACTGGAACTCATTCAGCACCTTCAGTAGGACACAGTGGGGTCTTGGGCATTGTCAAGCTGCGGCTTTTGGAAGTTGTTAGGCAGCAGCACAGTGACTATATAGTACTCTGGTATTTCTTATGCTTTGGCACTAAAAAAGTCTGAAAGTGTTTTAATTCTCAGTGGACAATCAATCTCTTCCAGGCTCAGGAAAGTCTTATACCATGATGGGCACAGCTGACCAGCCTGGACTTATTCCCCGATTATGCAGTGCCCTGTTTGAGAGGACGCAGAAGGAGGAGACCGACGAGCTCAGCTTCAAAGTGGAAGTTTCATACATGGAAATATACAATGAAAAAGTTCGGGATCTCCTGGACCCCAAAGGGTGAATTTCCACCCGATCTCACTGTGTTCATATTGCTCATTATTGTCACCTCCTATAACCCAGGACTGATGTATACCATTTATTCTCCCCATCATTCTCCATTCAGGACATATATGATTATCTGGCTCGTCTGAAAGCCGCATGATCCGCATTATAAAATTTATAGCACCTGGCACATATATTATTTTTATACAGTATTTATATAGCGCCAAAGGGTATGCTCAGCGCTGTACAGTAGCAAGGGGGACAGAACATGAGACAAGACAGAAACAATACAATACACGAGGGGTTCGAGGGCCCTGCTCTTTCGAGCTTACAATCTAAGAGGGAGGGGAAGGTGGTACAGGAGGAGATGGCTGTGGGGGATGGAGTGGCGGGATGAGTGGAGGAGGTTAGTTGTTAGGTGAGGTCGGGTGTTAGGTGAGGTTGGGGTAGGCTTCCCTGAAGAGGAGGGTTTTCAGGGTGCGCCTGAAGGTGAGGAGGGTAGGCGACAGTCTGATGGATTGGGGTAGGGAGTTCCAGAGGATGGGGGAAGTCCTGGAGAAGTCCTGCAATCGGGCGTGGGAGGAGGAGACCAGGGAGCTAGAGAGTAGGAGGTCCTGTGAGGAGCGGAGGGCACGGATAGGGTAGTATTTGGGTATCAGGTCAGTTATGTAGTTCGGGGCAGCATTGTGAATCGCTTTGTAGGTCAGAGTTAGCAGTTTGAATTTGATGCGTTGGGCAATCGGGAGCCAATGAAGGGATTGGCAGAGGGGGGAGGCACATGTGGAGCGGTTGGTGAGGTGGATGAGTCTAGCCGCTGAGTTCAGGATAGACTGGAGTGAGGATAGCGTTCGTCTGGGTAGGCCAGTGAGAAGGGAATTGCAATAGTCCAGGCGTGAGATGAGGAAGTGTACGAGTTGTTTGGTGGTGTCTGGGGTGAGGAATGTGCGTATCTTGGAGATGTTGCGGAGGTGGAGCCTGCAAGATCTAGATAGCAGTTGGATGTGGGGTAGGAAGGAGAGGTGGGAGTCCAGGGTGACACCCAGGAGTTTGGCGTGTGGGGTGGGAGAGATGGTGGCGTTGTTAGTAGTGATGGAGCTTTAATATATATTCTTAAAAAAATCTGCAATAAAACTCTGTTCTCATCTAAACTGGCCACGTAACATAACCCTAGTGTATGTTTAATAAAATGGCAGCCATTTTTTGAGTAAAAAAATTAAACCGCCGTTTATGGGGTTCTCATAGCTGTAATAGTCATACTTTGTATGGGAAGATATAAACAGCTAAATTGGGGCAGCACAGTGGCAAAGTGGTTAGCACATCTGCCTGGTAGCACTAGGGTCATTGGTTCGAGTCCCAACCATGACACTACATGTGCCTGGTGTTTGCATGTTCTCCCTGTGCCTTTGTGTATTTCCTCCAGTTACACCAGTTTTCTCCCACACTCCCAAAGACATGCTGGTATATTTACATCAGTCCCTGCCCTCAAGGAGCTTACAATCCAAGGACCCTAACTCACATTCATACATACACACACTAGGGCCATTTCAGACAGGAGCCAATTAACCTAGTATGTGTATGTACGAATGTGAGTTAGGGTCCTTGGATTGTAAGCTCCTTGACGGCAGAGACTGATGTAAATGTGCAATTTAGGGAATTCCTTGGGGAACCCAGGTCACCAGAACTAGTGTCCCCATTGAAAGATTTCCCCCGTTACTTTTCTGGGGACAATCCAAAATGTGGGATTTTCTTTTACTTTCCAAGAGAACGGTAAACAGGATAAATGGAGAGGGGGAATCTCCTTAACGGGGGCACATAATCCCTCTGCTCTATCCAAGACTTAAAAAAAAAAGGTTTTGCATTTTGTTATACTTTAAGACTAGGTTGACACCTATGCAGTTTGTGTTTGATCTATTTCTGCAGTGCGTTTTGCATTTTTGATGCGTTTTGAGTTTTTGATGCATTTTCTGTTTTTTTTCTTTCTTGTTGCTAGGCAGATTTAAAACGCACTACATGCTTTTTCTGCAGCGTTTCCATTGAAGTCTAGAAACAGAGTCCACAGTGGGAGTGGAGCGCCTGGGAGGCTTTACTTAGATCAGCACATTACAGCTGAATAAAGGCCTTGGCGAATTTCATGCTACAGCACATAGTCATAAGTTGGCACTCAGCCTACATTTCTTATATGGTTTGAAGTGTAAAGCATGAGTATTTTTTTTTAGTTTTGGTTAGTAGCAAAGGGTTAGAACTCCCTTTTAAGATTTGTTTTATTGCTGGTATAAGAAGACTCATTGAAGAGCCTCACCAAGGAATTAAGATTCCAAAGAGCTAAATCTTTAAATAATGAGGTAGTTTCATAACAAGAAAACCTCAAACAGCGAAGGCATTGCTGGGACTCAAAGCTCTACCCCTTCAGGGCTTGCATTTGGTATGAAGTTTAGAAAGACCCAAAATGGCCCAGTCACTAGCAATAGTTATTTGGAGAATAAACCATGGTAAGTGCCCATGAACAATAAAGCAGCAGTGCACTATGCTGTTTTTGAGTCGTCCTAAACTGCATTCAGTACGTGAGCCCTGGAGAAGGGGGATCCTTGAGCGCTGGAAATGTGTTGGCTGTTATTGTTAAGAGTTAACTTTGGTAGTGAAAGAGTTTTGGACTGTTGCTTGGTCTGACCCTTTCATTAGGCTTTCCATACCTGGATTCTGCACTCAGGGTACCATAGGTGTAGGGATAACCTGTTTGTGCTGAGAGCAACCTTACCAGAGCCATTCTTTGCCATATGAATGTGATTGACCTTCAACAGTGAATTGTTGAGGGATCAAATCTAGAACCTCATCATGTGTCCTCACTGGGGGGGGGGGGGGGACTCACCTTCTCTATTGTCCTGGACTTTATTACAGATAGTGATCAGGAGGTGAAGGAATTTCAACTTCCAATGGGGACACCTGCCCTGGTGACAACTAAGATGGGAATTCCACCACTTTTTGAAAAGTTTCCTCTCGCTTTGGAGAGAGCTCCTCCTAACTTTTGGCTGGGTTCTCTGGGACAGCAAGTGAAGAAGAAATCTTAAAAAGCTCATATGTTCTGTTCCCCAGTTTTGTGTTAAGATTGTTGGCGACACACACATCTTACTCAAGACCTTTTCTTAAATGCCTCTTCTAGGAGCCGGCAGTCCCTTAAAGTTCGGGAGCACAAGGTCTTAGGCCCATACGTGGATGGCCTTTCCAAACTGGCAGTCACAAGTTACAAGGTATGTTTATAATAAAGTTATGTTATTGTGTTAAATGGTGTCTAAATATTTTGTATTTTTTCTTGAATCTCGGTGGTTTGTGTATTTCTTCCAGATCTGTGCAGTAGTCCACTTTCCTCTAATAAAGTCCCGGTCACTTCTCTCTCTTCTTGTGCAGTGTGACTGGTCTTGTCTCCGTCCCACCTGTAAATTTCTGCCAGCAGCCTTTAGTGGATGAAGCCTGCTGGATCCCTCCCACAGCTCTGATTTTTTTGCACAGCTTGAGTTTGCAAAGTCATTTAGTGGGCATAAAGTGAAATTACTTCCCTTGTGGCTATTAAGGGATATATTTAAATCTTTGTCCACGGAGTTTAAGTTAAAGAAGATTCCAGGTATGGATATTATTAAATAGTTACATTGGTCCAGCATGGCCTGTAACTCCTAAAAGTGGCGTGGTAGGTTTATAATCTAAATGAATGAAAATGCAAATTTGTCACATGGCAAAAGGGGGTACACCCCTACATTTATCACTACGTCAAGTTCATGAAATTAGAACCAGGTGTACCAGATAAGATACCAATGATTAGAACCTTCTTAGGTGGACTCTGTCCTATTTAACCACTTCCCAACCGGCCGTTGTATATAAACGGCCGGACGGTGGCAGTGCAGGGTCGGGTGGCCGTTTATGAACGGCCTCCCCGCACCCTGCTTGTGCGCGCTCCCTGGGAGCGTGCAGCACCGCGATCCGGTGCCCGCTGTGTCCTCCGGACACAGTGAAACACCGATCGTCAGACGGGACCTCTGTACGAGGTCCCGATCATGTGATCACTGATTGGCCAATCAGTGATCACATGCAAAGTAGTAAGCAAGATGTCACTTGTGACATCATTGCTTACTACGTGTGAAATCTGTGAATGATCACAGAGGTCACATAGTACAAGGCTATTCACAAAAGCCTTGTACCATGTGACAAGGTGTGACCAATCACAGCTCACTCAGTACTTCTCAATGAGTGCAGGAATGCACACAGAGAGAAAGAGAAATGATTGCTTTTTACATCCTATATGGGTGTAAAAGCAATCAGTGTAAAAAAAAAAAAAAATCTTCATCACCCCCCACAAGTAGTACAGGTCACCATGGTGACACTGTACTGCTAGGGTGACAGTATGTAAAAAAAAAAAAAAAATAAATAATAATAATATAAAAAAATGTAAAAAAAATGTTTAAAAATTATAATTTTTGGTTATAAACTAATTTTTTTTTATTTTTTTTTTACTAAAAAGATAACGGAATAAATTTTGGCAAAGATTTATGATGAAATATTATTTATTTGCAAAATTTTTTAAAAAAAAAACGCTTTTGTTCAAAATTTTTGGACTTTTTCATTTACATTTACATTAAAATAAAAATCCCAGCGGTGAATAAATACCACCAAAATAAAGCTTTATCTGTCTCAAAAAAAATGGTAAAAAATTAATTTGGGTACAGTGTTGCATGACTGCGCAATTGTCATTCAAAGTGTGATAGCGCTGAAAGCTGAAAATTGCCCTGGTCAGGAAGGGGGTAAAAGTGTCCGGTCTGGAAGTGGTTAAACTTCAGACATTATTATTATTAATATACAAGATTTATAAAGCGCCACAGCGCATTACAAAATGAAGGCAGATGTTACAATACAATTTGGTACAAGAGGAATCAGAGGGCCCTACTTGTTTGAGCTTACAATCTAAGAGGGAGGGTCACTTCATACAAAAGGTAATTAGCTGTGTGGGATGAGCTGATGATGGAGAAAGTAAAAACACAGTGCATTTAATTAAAAGCAGGATAGGCTTCTTTAACCACTTCAAGTCCGGACACTTTTTCCCCATTTCCTGTCCAGGCCAATTTTCAGCTTTCAGCGCTGTCACACTTTGAATGACAATTGCGCGGTCATGCAACACTGTACACACATTAATTTTTTAGCATTTTTTTGAGACAGATAAAACTTTATTTTGGTGGTATTTATCCACCACTGTTTTTTTCTTGCTATATAAATGAAAAAGTCCAAAATTTTGAAAAAATGTGTTTTTCTTATAAAATTTTGCATATATAAATGAAAAAGTCCAAAAATTTAGAAAAAAGTGTTTTACTTTTAAAATTTTGCAAATAAATAATCTTTCTTCATAAATCTTGGCCAAAATTTATTCAGCTATCTTTTTAGTAAAAAAAAAAAATAACCCAAATTAGTTTATAACCAAAAATTATAATTTTCAAATTTTTTTTTTTTTTTTTTTTTTTTTTTTTTTATTTTTTTTTTTAAACATACTGTCACCCTAGCAGTACATAGTGACACTGTACTGCTTGTGGGGGCTGATGAAGATTTTTTTTTTTTTTTTTTTTTTTACACGGATTGCGTTTACATCCATAAAGGCTGTAAAAGCAATCATATCTCCTGGCTGCATTCTTGCAGCCATTGAAAATACTGTGAGAGCTGTGATTGGTCACAGCTTGTCACATGGTACAAGTCTGTTGTAAATAGCCTTGTACCATGTGATCTCTATGATCATTCACAGATTTCACACGTAGTAAGCAATGATGTCAGAAGTGACATCTTGCTTACTACTATTCATGTGATCACTGATTGGCCAATCGGTGATCACATAATCGGTACCTCACACGGCAGTCCCGTACAGCGATCGGTGTTCCGCGGTGTCCTCCGGTGTACCATTCGTATCTGTGCGACTTCAAGTCGCACCGACTTTCAAGTAGTTCCTGCACTACTTTGGAACGACTTTCATGTGACTTGAGGGCAATAGACTTCATGAAAACCCTCCAAAGTCACATGAAAGCCACACCTGAATGTTGTACAGGCGACCTGTGTGCAACTTTATAAAGCAGAAACAATTCTCCTTAGTCAAAGTCGCACCAAAGTTGCACTCATCCAAAGTTGCATTAAAGTCACATCAAGTTGCACTGTATAGTTGCAATGAATATTTGCACGGTTTTGAAGTCGCACAAGTGTGAATGGAGCCTGAGTAACACTTTAACTTAAAGTGATTCTTAATGTACATTGTTTTGTTTTTCCTTTAAAATAGCAAACATATCATATGTACCTGCTCTGTGCAGTAGTTTTGCACAGAGCTGCCCCGCGCCTGCTCTTCTCAGGTTCCCTGCCAGTGCTCCTGGCACCTCCGGTCTCCCCCCGCCCCCTTCAATCCCTAACCGCCACCACACCAATTGCCCCTTGCTATGGGGGCACTCGTGCTGGCTCACTCCTGAGCCTCACTGTCTGCATCTATGAATGTCTATTGATAGAGCCTCTGTTCTTATGCACATCACTGGATCGAGATCGGGCTCGGGTTTTTTACCTTAATGCATAGAATAGAAACCTTCTGCCCCCTTGCTCTGGCTGGCCATGGTTGGCATAGAATGCACACTGCACATGTGTGACCAGTTGCTTGCTGTCTAGCAGATAGAAGGTAGTTGTGCAAGCATGGTGTGTTTTTCATGTCAGCTATGGGCAGATGGGGTGGAGAGTGGGCACGCTGGAGAACAGATGACAGCAGTAGCTATCAGAGCAGACTCTCCTCCCTTACCATTGTCCCGGCCCTGTCTGAATGCATGTTTCTGCTGAAATGTGTGTATTCCTGAGCTGTTGCACATGTATAATTGTGTTGGAGGTAATTATGTATAATTAAATCTGATGTAGCACAAGAAAATGTAAGTAGGTCTTAATCCTGTTTGGAGTTGGACTTCAGATCTTTTAATGGAGAATGCAGAAGGCTTCCCAAGTGAAAAGCCATATCATGCTTAGATTTTAGCGTGAGCTGCTTTCTCAATTTTTGTTTCAGCAGTTTGATGGTTTTAGTCTGTCAAAGCCGCTCACACCATACTTAGGGCATTAACTGCATTGCAGAGGCTTTGTTGGTTACAATCTTTGGCTGTTTGCTAAAATAAAAAGCAGGATGACCATGAAATATGAATGCATTTGTTTGGGGAAGGAATCTTGCCTGGGGAAATGAGAATTGTCATGCTGCGTGAGCAGCTTTAAGCTGTTCTTTGTGTATGAGGCTGTTTTTTATGATGTTTTTTTTTTTTTATTTTTATATAGGATATAGAATCTCTTATGTCGGAGGGGAACAAGTCTCGCACAGTAGCAGCAACCAACATGAACGAGGAAAGCAGTAGATCACACGCCGTGTTCAATATCATCCTCACACATACTATTACTGATGTCCAGTCTGCAGTGAGTGTTATGTCCCCTGCCTGTTATTTACTGTGTTTGTGTAGTTCCAGAATGCTAGGAAGGCATTGGCCAAATATATAAACCTTTCACTAAAACATAAACCTTTCCCCAAATTCATTCATCCACCACAACTTGGCAGTCACCCTACGTCACCACTGCTGTCATCCTTACAGAAGGTCAGAGAGTAGGATGCGCAGCTTGTCTGGATAGACGGAACTGTCCAACTTTTGAAATTACCAGTCAGATGTTTGGATGCTATGACGTGGGGCAGTCTATGCATAGACATACTGTATGTGTGGTCTCAGATCCGCATATGACATCATTTAAAGAAACCTTACAAATTATTTTAAAATAAAATGTTTTCCTATATAACCCCTTATTAACTTTTTGAAAACCATAATCGCCTCTAATTACCTGCTTCTGTCCGCCTTGAAGTAGTGGTCCACTTAAACTCTTACTTTACCAATAATAAAGTGGAAGATACAACTGCTATTAACTGGGAAGCTCATAGAGCCTCTCTTAGGTTTTTTTCTATCCAATTATCCTCTAGACTTAAACAATCCCATGAAGAGTTGACTTCTGTCAAAACTAAGGAGAATGAGGCTTTAACAGTCCAATATAAAATTGCCCCAACTCCGGACTTGTTACTTAAGGTGGGGCAAGCTTGTTTAGAACTTAATCTTTGTCTTACCACGAAAGCGGAAAACGCCTGCACTGGATGAATCATAAATTCTTCACATGGCAAGACAAACCGGGTTTTCTCTTAGCGCGTAAACGTTCCCCCAAGCATACCTATTTGGCGCTTCTAAGCTTAGGCTTTCGGGGGGGTCATATCTCCACAGGATCCTCAGAAGATCCTTTGGGAATTCCATAATTTCTATGCTACTTTATACTGTCAACTCCAGCCTGTTGAGCCTTCTTATCTTCAAGAGTTTTTGGGGTCCTTGCAGCTTCCACCTCTAGCCAAGGCCCACAGGGAACCTATGTAACAACCTATCACTAGCAAGGAGCTTAGCAAAGTTATTAAACTGCTAATGTCACATAAATCTCAAGGGCCCCAACGGTTTACTGAATATTTACTACAAAACCTTTTCTGAACAACTTTTCCCCCATATAGCCCTTTACTCCAACCCTTTGAGGGAGGGCAGTATGATCCCTTTGAATGAAAACAAAGCATATATTAGCGTTATTCCTAAACCTAATAAGGACTCTACTGATATCCTCAATTACCGGCCTATTTCGCTAATTGATTGTGACCTGAAAATTCTGACTAAACTTTTGGCTTTGTTCGTGAATTCCTTTTTGGCGCAGTATGTTTACAAAGACCAATCAGGTTTCATATCGGGTGACCAAACATTGGGGCAGATTAGTCAGTCCATCACTCTGATTTCCGCTGTTCTAAATGAGATGCTCCCCTCTCTTGGGAGGAGTTGCTTCTTTCTGTGGACCTTCATAAAGCTCTCGATAGTTTAGCCTGGGAATATTTGTTTACTACCTTGCAAGCTTTCGGAGTTGATCCTGCATTTCTTACATTTTTGCATTCATTATACAAAACTCCCTTGGCTCAAGTTTCCATTGGAGGTTACAGATCTTCTATGTTCCCAATTCATCGTGGCACTAGACAGGGTTACCTACTCTCCCCACTTCTTTTTGCATTGGCGATTGAACCCTTCGCTATGGCGATCCGTTCTCGCCCCGAAATCCATGGTTTCCAGTGTGGTCGACAGGAACATAAATGCACTCTATTTGCTTACAATGTCCTTATGTATATTACCTCCCCTTTGACCCCACTCCCTGCTCACCTTGACCATTGACCTATAGCTTATAATAAGTCAAAAACTCGCTTTATAAGGAAAATGTGTCTCCAAATTTCTGATCCGTGACATGTTCCTTCCACCTATTATGCTTCTTTAAACTCCAGATCCGTGCAAGATAAACAAAAACATACCCTAGTGCAACACCGTTTTATATAACCAAACATTAAATGTGTTACACTATCCACTCACATTAAATAAAATTATATGCAAGTCCCAATTATAGTGAACATTTATACATTACTCCACCGTGCCGACTATATTGTGGCGTTTTCATCACCGGGTAGGTGCACCATGCACTCACCACCTTCCCTGACATAACAAGTAGGTCATACACACTTAGGGATGAAGCCAAATTCTGCTTATCCAATGCCGATCCTTAGTGGCTACTTCATTTGTTCTGGCCCTTTAAGGGAAACATGCTCTTGAATATCCAGTGGAATGAATGTGTATATGATAAAAAATATAAAGGGAATAGATCATAGTGCAACCCCATAAAACATGAACAGTTTATTCAAATAAAAATTGTTCTCACAAAAGTAATGAATCAAAAGCATATCACAGCCATCAATCAAAATGGTTCCTCACATCACTCGTGCCTGTTTGGGCATGACCGGAAGTGACATCACTAGGCTCCACCCAACATGTTTTCATCATAGGTTACGTGACTTCTTCAGGGACCCTGATACTGTAACTCGCTTAATTTTTGGTTATATAAAATGGTGTGTTTCTCTATGGTGTGTTTTTGTTTATTTTGCACGGATCTGGAGTTTAAAGAAGCATAATACGTGGAAGGAACATGTCACGGATCAGAAATTTTGGAGACCCATTTTCCTTATAAAGCGAGTTTTTGGCCTATTATAAGCTATAGGTCAATGGTCAAGGTGAGCAGGGAGTGGGGTCACAAGTCAAGCATAGTGTTGATTATTGCTGGATGATAACACAACATATACTGGATTGGACATTTATTATTGGAGGAAAAAAGAAATGTTCTTGGACTGTCACTTTGTGTTTCTAAAGCTTTATGGTTCCATTTATGAGGAGATAGCGCACCACATTTTTTTTCATTTATTTAATTTTTAGTGTGAGTACACCAGAGTATTGAGTGCAGCAATCTTCTTCCCTGACATTATTACTATAGTTGGGACATAGCGCATAGGTTTTTACTATTTGCATAGCCTTAGCTAACGTTTCTATCAATACCACCTTAATTGAAGCGGATTATAAAACACTTTTGTGATAGTATTTGGTCCCAACTCAGACTGCGAGGATGCATCCATCTGCCTGACCGATGTGTTTTCAGCGTTGCAGCCAGATGGGCTCTGTGTATCACGTCTGGTGGCAATGCCCGATAGTAACCAGATTTTGAATCCGTTATGTTTATTTACACGGTGACGGGGGTGAATGTTCGTATTTCCCCTAAGACAGCCCTCTTTCATAAGTTCCCAAATACGGTTCCAAAAAAATCCCTTAAACTGCTTACTTATATGCTGTTGGCAGCGAGAATTACTATTGCTAGACACTGGAAGAGATCATTTATCCTGCTTGAATATGTTAAGAATGAATTGAATTGGATCATGATTAATGACAGACTATTCTACACAATATTTAAAATTTGATAAAATGTGGGACCCGTGGATTCAGTACATTTCCCTGCCTTGAGGTCTCCCAATTTGACCCTCTCCTTTTCTTGTTCTTGTTTACTTCTTTTTCTTACTTTGTACTATCCCTCCTTTTTTTTTTTTTCTGTTCTCTGGGGCTAGTTGAGACTATCTCCTATTCGCTCTACAATGTCTGTCACGTTTCCAACAACACTCTTCTATGTGTATTCTTAGGTTTACGAAACACAGTGTTTCTCCCTCCCTTCCCCCTCTATTACGTCCCCTGACCCTCTCTTTCCGCCCCTCTCTAGCCTTCCTTTCCCCCTTGCCACCTGTTTGTGGTCGGATGAATGATGGAAACTCTCTGTTTGAACTGTCCAGTTGTTTTCACACAGATTCCCTGGTTTCCCAGTGTGTGTCCTCTGTTGGTTCAACCATGGTTTTTATTTTGCGTTGTTTGGCACCTACTTTTATGACATGACATTTGTCTGTTATTGGAATAACTGTCAATAAAACTATTGGAAAATAAAGTGTGTTAACTAAAAATTTGCATTTGAAAAGCTGCAGCGCAAATACCCTGTGACATGAAAAAATTTGCAGCACCACTAAACAGCTCATCCACTCCCTCATCATATCACGACTTGACTACTACAACTCCCTCCTCACTGGCCTGCCTCGCCGCTGGGCTATCCCCGCTTCAATCGATCCTGAATACGGCTGCCAGACTCATTCACCTTTCCAACCGCTCCGTTTCCGCCACCCCCCTCTGCCAATCCCTCCACTGGCTTCCGATTGCGCAATGGATCAAATTCAAAATCCTAACACTGACGTACAAAGCTGTCCACCATACTGCCCCGAACTACATCATTGACCTAATATCCAAGTACCACCCAACACGCACACTCCGCTCCTCACAAGACCTCCTTCTCTCTAGTTCCCTGGTCTCCTCCTCCCATGCCCGCCTCCAGGACTTCTCCAGGGTGTCGCCCATCCTCTGGAACTCCCTGCCCCAACCCATCAGATTATCACCTACTCTCCTCTCCTTTAGGCGCACCCTGAAAACCCACCTCTTCAGGGAAGCCTACCCCACCCCCTGCTAACTTGCCGACCTCCTCCACTCTTCCTACCACTCCATCCCCCTCAGCTATTTTCTCCTGTACCACTATCCCCTCCCTCCTAGATTGTAAGCTCGAAAGAGCAGGACCCTCAATCCCCTCATGTTTTGCATTGTATTGTTATTGTTCTGTCACATGTTCTGTCCCCCTTTGTAATGTACAGCGCTGAGCGAACTATTGGCGCTTTATAAATACTGTATAATAATAATAATAATCCACCAATTTATTCCCTAGGGCCTCTGCTTATAAAATATATGTTAGGGGGTTCTAAGTAAATTTTCTAGCAAAAAAAATATGATTTTACATGTACGAGAGAAATGTCCGAACTGGTTAACTCCTTCCCCCTTCTCACCTTAACTAATATTTTTCTGCTGATGATTTCTATCTTAATGTTACCACTAATAATTTTTTTTCTGTATTCATTCTTTTTTTTTTTTTTTTTTTTTGTCGCATAACAGAAAAAATTGAAA